CAGCCACAAATAGCATTGATTTTATTCCTGTCCTACATGTTAGAGCAGGAATAAAATCAAAACTCTTTGTGGATCAATATACTGCTGTGCATTTGTGAGGGACTGCATGTGTGCTGGTACAGGGGCTAAAATTCATGTAGTTGAGCAGTATACATGTGGTACATACAGTATATTCCAGGCGATCGGCTGGCTCCTTTAATTTTTCTGTGGTCTCTGGCAGGATGGTGTTGAAATCCTCCTGTCGGGCAGGGTGCGGTAATCATCCCGTCGGGTGAGCCGGCTCCTGTCTGCGCGGGCTGGTACATGAGGGATCCTCCAGGCAAGCGCTTGCGCAGACTAAGTTGAGGGCCTCCTCAGCACGCCTCTGCCGCTCAGTCACGTGAGGGAGGTGGGCGGGCCAGGAATGTAATTGACAGCCAGCTCGAGCTGTGAACTACAAGACTACAACTACAAGAATGCCCTGCAGATAAAGAATAACGTCGCGTGCCAGCTGTCAAGGTCTCGCGTGCCAGGCTGGGCACGCGTGCCGGGGGTTGCTGACCCCTGATCTAGGACAACATATCTGAACTGGAAAGTGATCTGAATTGGAGAATTTTTCCAGTTCAGCTATTTTGGCCCCTAGATTGTTCACTTCTCCGGCTTTCTCCAAACTCTTCACCCTTTTGTGAATAACCCTATGTGTTTTTCTCAAAACTTAATTTAGCATACAATGGGAAAGCCAGACATTTAATACTTCAACCTCTCGCCCCTCACAGCACCTCCTAACATTACAAAGAAGGAAAAGCAAGTAGAAATGTAACCATTAAAGGAGAACTATGAGGTGAGTGCTTTTCACTCACCTCATAGTTCTAGCCGACCTGTGACAATGAGACTGCCACAGTTCGGCTCAGTAGATCGGGAGGTGAGTGAACACATACTGGCGTTCGCTCACCTCTCGATCCTGTCACGGCTCTCTGCCGTGACAGGGGAGGGGCTGGATTCCCCGCTCCGAACCTCCAGCGCTGACCGGTGGAACGGACGGGCGAGGGGGCGGGTACAGCTGGCTCTGCCTCTAGATAGGCAGAGCTAGCTGTCACTCACACAGCTGGGCGGATCCAGACATAATTGTCGGGATCCGCTTCAGCTGCGGCGTCTCAGTATACCGCGTGCTTCAGCTCGCGGTATACTGAGCCTAGGGTGTCCTCCCGTTACCCTAAGGAGAACTATGGGGAAAAGCGCTAACCCCATTGTTCTCCTTTAAGAAGCCAAGAAACCCTAACCCAAGGGAAAGCAATTTAAACCGCAAGAAGCATTTTACATCTTTTTTAGCTAATGCTATGTGAATGGGAAGATGTAACACATGTAAAATAGGTGTTATCCCAATTTGGCTTTGAAAGTGGTAATACACTTTAAGATGTTTGTCGAATCAAGAACTGAATGCAAGGCAATTGAGCCTGCTTGTGCTGGAATCATTCTGCAGAATTGTCATAAGACAGTTAGTTGGGTTTTTCTACATCTTTCCTATGACTGGTATGTCAACAATCTCTTCTATCTAACCCACAGATAAAAGCTTCATCCAGGTCTCCCTCCCTATAGCTGGAGTTAGGCCAAGATAACATTTTTAGACATTACAGTATGTAATGTAAAGCTAACAGCAAGGCTGTCGGATGCCATGTACAAATTTAAAAAGACCCGGCAGCCGTGGATGTGGAATTGTTCGCCACCATCCTTTGACCACCATCTCATAGACCTGATGACATTTGTAAATAGGTGGGGCTCATTCTACAATGTACAGGGAAATCCCATGGAATGCAGCCATACTGCATTTACTGTGCAGAGAAGATGGCCTCTAAAACCTGACACACAGCTAAAACAAGAATTTCCCCCCTAACAACATTTTATTCTATAATGAAGATTGTCAGAAGTTGATTGCTAAGGTTCCTCAAACATTGTCCTCTTCTCTTAGAATTCTATGCCCCTAGTGGCTTACAAACATGATATCCATTTTATATCCCTGAAAACATACTATGTACAGAGAGCATCACAAATAATCAGCCTTTTATGTTTTCTTTCATTTATAGATATGAGGGCACCGTATAAACTCCACACTGTAATTGCCAGTGTAGTGATGATCTGTGTTTCCGGAGCTGTAACCATTGTTTTGTTACTCATCAAACAAAGGAGAAAACGTAAGTAGTTGGAGATGTCACAGAGGAGATGTACATTCCAAACCTTATAGCGTTGTCCATTATACCAAGGGTGACTCTTGATGCAGCAAAATAGATCCACACAATGTGTCAACACCTCCATCCAGCGGGTCCACCTCTCCACCAAGTCTTTATCTTATCCCGATTTTCTCTTTTTCTATGTCCTTGTATCATCCTCCTCCTTCCTTCCTTTACTTTTCTTGTTCACTTTTATGTCAGTAAGATTCTCTTTATTCAGACTGAAACTGGAATCATTTATGACTCATTCTTGGGCCCTTCACTTTTCACTGCATTATTGATTGTTCATCAATTTATATATTGTTGTATATTATTACATGATCTGTTTCTTACCATTTCCATCTTTTTTATATTCCTTTTTTGTAGCACTTCAGTAATGTTGTTTCTTTTTTTTTTGTGTGCTAGATGTATGAATGTAGTAAAACATTCTAAGGGAAAGCTAGACTTCCAGCACACCTACTTGCTTTTCCTCTAGGGAAGCCTTGGCCTGCAGTGTCTGCTGCTACCAATGGACATTAGATTACATAGTTACATAGTCAGACATCTCAATTCCCCCGGACGCTCCGGGATAGCGGCTCCCAGACTCCCGGGAGAGAAACATTTTCTCCCTTAAAGGTTTACTCTGCTTTATCTGGCAGAATAAACCTTTCTCTGCTCTGTTTTTTTTGAACTAATAACTACATTTCAATTGGCTATTTCAATTTGCAATAGTCAATAGCAGACTAGCTATTGCACCCGCCCACTGCTGCGGGTCAACCTATAGAATTAAATTGTCTACTGCATGATTGAGAGACTGTCATCTAAGGTCTAAAAGCACATTCTGGAGTTAGAACTCAACTCTGAGTGTGGATGGCAGATGGGAGAGACACTGACAGAGAGGAAAGCAGCATTTCAGGAGGACAAGACGAGCAGCAGAGTTCAGGACGGGCTGGCATATGATAAGGAGCATCTAATTATTACAAGAGCATTGGTTGTCATCACATGTTCCAATTTTCCATCCTGCCTGCTTGATATCCATATGGGTGGGTGGGGGGGAGCGCTCATATCCACTCCATACACTAGATGACTCTCAGATGAGTTAAAAGTAACCTTACCTGCTACAGTATTGGGCATTTATAAATGTACATTTAAAGCGTCGCATTTCTTACTATATTTTGATTCACACTCCTGACTTGCACTGGTAATAGTTTAGCGACCAACTATATTGACGGTTATGCTATCAAATAATTCATAATTCTGAACTTTCTCCATGTCTGTGTGCTGGAAATGTGTCTAGAGTTATCCATTTGATGTTACAGGCCTCCCAAAGGTGAGAAAGATCACTCGGGGCCCAGGAGGTGTTTTCAGCTTGGGCGTGGATCATTTCTATCCAGAAAATATTACTGTATCTTGGAAAGTGATTCAACCCCCATCAAGCACACAGGTCCGTCCCATAGGCTCTGTCATTATAATGGATCAGAACCAAGATGGAACCTTTAATGCCACCAGCACTTGTGAAAGCCTCAGAGGGGTGATCCAGGAAAACGAGCCGTATACTGTGCAGGCTGTGGTGGAACACGACAAACTGAAACACCCATCAGTTAGAGAATGGAGAAGCGATGACAAAGATAATAAAGGTATGGGGGGGATATTCTGGAATAGATAGCATTAGCATGGTTATTGTTTTTCATAGTTGGTAACGGTAAATAAAGACACCGGTCCATCCAGTTCAACCTACAGTATATCTGCATATATGTTTGTCTGTGTAGGATTCACTTAGAATTCCCATGCCCCTGTATATTGTGTTCCCTGAGGAAGACATCTAGAAGTTTTTTCTTTGAATGTGTCTATATTCTCAGCTGATACCACCACCTAGGGATGGGAGTTCTACAACTTCAATGCTCTAACAGTAAAGAATCCTCATCGTAGTTTTAGATTAAACCGCTTTTCCTCCAATCTCAGGTCCACACCAACTACTGCATTTGTGTTTTATTAAAAATCATCGAATGCATTTTTAAATGCAATTAGTGTAAGTAATATTGCCTTGGTATCAGACTTATGTAGCTTCCTGACCAGCAAAGTTGAGACATAGAGATGGAAGTTCAGCACTAGGAGCCAATCAGGCCTGTTGCATTAAAATATACTGATGGTTCAGTGGTTAGGTTGAGGCAGGATTGGCTTCCCTGAAGAGATAAGTCTTAAGGGATCGCCTAAAGGCAGTCAGAGTAGGAGATAGACGGACAGGTTGGGCTAGAGAGTTTCATAGGATGGGAGAGACTCTAGTGAAGTCCTGGAGGCGAACATGGGAGGAGTGGATGAGGGAGCTGGAAAGCAGGAGGTCTTGTGAAGAGCGTTGGGGACGGTTAGGGTAATACTTTGAGACCAGGTTGGAGATATAGCCGGGGGCAGAGTTGTGGATGTCTTTGTAAGTCATTGTTATATTTTGAATTTTATCCTTTGGGCTATAGGAAGCCAGTGCAGGGATTGACAGAGGGGGCGTTGGAGGGAGCCCAGTGCAGGGATTGACAGAGGTGGGTTGCAGACACTGAGCGGTTGGTTAGGGGGATGAGTCTAGCAGCTGCATTCATGATAGACTGAAGGGGGGATAGCCTGTGTAGTGGAAGGCCAATGAGGAGGGAGTTGCAATAGTCCAGACGAGAGATAACAAGGGAGTGGATGAGTAATTTTGCGGTTTCATTGCTGAGGAAGGGATGAATTTTTGAGATGTTACGAAGGTGAAGGCGGCAGGATTTGGATAGCGATTGGATGTGGGGAAGAAAGGTGAGGTCCGAGTCAAGGATGACACCTAGGACCTTGGCATGGGGGGAGGGCTGGATAGTTGTGTTATCAATCTCAAGGGAAAAGTTGGGGGAAGGTGCACGGGGAGGAGGAAATATCATGAGCTCAGTTTTGGAAAGGTTGAGTTTTAAGAAATGTTGCGACATCCAGACAGATATGTCAGTTAGTAGATTAGTGACACGCAAGCACACAGAGGTTGATGACCTCCATATGATATATACAGTATGTGGAGGTTGATGACATCCATATGGTATATTTTTTTTCAGATTTTCTCTTACAGCCGCACGCTGTGATGACCCCGACACCTAAATTATTTGTCCATCGGACGACCCAACTGCACTGTAAAATCTCAAACTTTTACCCCGATGAGCTGATTGTGAGTTGGTTTAAAAAAGGAAACGGAGACACGGAGTTAAATCAAATCGGTAACACTGGGAAATACAAGATTGTACACAGCAAATCTGTGCACCAGTGGGATAAAACATTCACCCATAAGGCCCTTCTGGAGTTCACCCCATCAATGGAGGATCAGGGGTCAGAGGTCATCTGCAAAGTGAACCATCCCAGTCTGGAGGATCCTATAGAAAGGACAACTGGACCCTTACAGGTGCTGGGTGAGTACAGACATACAGTATATACTATATATTTACTAATAAACTGATATTTTACCTGTAGAAGCATCACATACTTCCTGACACCTCTTGAATAATAAAGCTTTATCATTCAAGAGGTGTCAGGAAGTATGTGATACCTCTACAGGTAAACCCAAAAACAAAAATTTACTTTATTGCAGCATTACTGGTCCTGAGATGTGGAGGCTGCATTCGTTTTTTTCTTATTTTTCCCTGGTGGTCCCGCCAGTAACACACATTCTGTCCTGCAATGACGATGATCATTTACCATTCTGTGTTAGGGCAACAGAAACAGGGTGGAGCTACAGGACTCATTGCCATTGTCCATAAAATAGAGTGACGTGGTTCTGCAGCACACGATCACTAGATTTCAGGTAGGTTCAATGGCTATTTTTTGTACTTATTGAACAGGTACGACCTCCATTCATAGAAAGTATATTATGATTTCCAACAATGCAAAGCAACCTGTAATTGGAGGATGCAGATCCTGTCATACATCCACCTGCCCTCCAATCACATGTTGTTTGCAGATGGTCAGCTATATTGTAGAAGCGATTCAGTGGCTATACAGTGCTGCACAATCACTTTCACAGTGCTTTTGAAGGTGCCACCCATACAACTGAGCATGTCCCCCTTCCCTCAGTTCCTGGGCTCACCTACGTCCCCTTGGAGGTCGGGACTAAAAACACACACGTAAGGGTGAATCGAAGGAGTGGTGGAGGAACCTAAATTACTCCATGTCTCCTGCAAGGTATCAATCTTGAAGCCCTCAGCACTTCCAGTTTTAGAACCATCAGCTCCAGACTAGGAGAGCCGGGTGAAGCGGCACTCAAGTACACTGTGCCCTCGTTCAGAGTTGCCTATGTGCAAGGGGTCATCAGAAGACCCATGATGTCTCCATTAACAGTACCTGCCACTCAAAAAGTGTTACCACAAGGCCCCTGCCCCTATACACAACAACTCATGTATACGATGCACATGTGCACATAAATAACAATTGCGCGACACATATTGGGTATCATCCAACATATATGCTGGAATGAAAGGAATAATTCCAGAGCCATCATTTATGATAAACTCTCAGTTGATGACCTTTGAAGAATTTATAAAGCGTTGTCACCATGTGGCAGGCACTGCTTCAAACTTTGACATATTTGGTATCTATTTATTCATTTCTGTCTCATCTGTCTCATTTATAGAAAAGTGGAATATTATATTGTGCTTGTGTGCAATAAAGTCAATGTGATTGTATTTTTTTTTTTAGAAAATATAGATTTGATAAACAGAGAAATATAGTGTGACATAAAAAATATGCAACTACTAATTACTTTCTTAAAAGAGAACCCGCACAGAGCGCCCGCCAGCTTTCAACACACTATGACGCTACTAACCCTTATGGGGTATGGAGCCCTGTGCTCATATTATCAGGCAAACGACATGAAGAAAGATGGCAGAGATGGCAACCAGTTATGGTTAAGGAATCACACATGCATATAAGAGTTACATGGTCCTGGCAGCTGGCTCTTCCTACTGGCATGTTACAGATGCTTGGAGTCTACAATATACTGCATATTTGCCACAGTCTAAACTCACAAACTCTCTTCTTTCATATAACCTACCTGCTTTAATTAGTTTTTGTCTTTCTTTGTAGTAAAGCCCGAGGTCCAGCAGCCCATACAACTCCCCATTAATGACTCCGGAGACATGGTGGCAACTTTCAGCCTTTTCAGCTTTTACCCAGAAGATATAAAGGTCACTTGGACATGTAGACCAACCCAGGAGAAGAAACCATCACAGGAGACAATCAGTGAGAATCCAGATGGCACATTTACTGCCACCAGTCGGTGTACAATTCCTGGAAATCTCTTTGAGAACCCGAAGTTCAGAGTCAGAGTGACATGGGGCCATCCATCCATGGAGAGTGCAGAATACAGAGAGATATCTGTACAAGATTCAGGTGAGGAAATACCTAAAAACACACAGCAAGGTTCACAGTGACATTGTGGAAGGTAGGTGCTTCATCTAGTGGCTGTAATGCCAAACACATGGCATTCGCCTAGCTATATGCTGGGTGAACCTATTACAAATAAACCCCTTGTTATGCTTTGTGTATTTATTCCAGATCTGTGCCATGCCCCCAGTTATAAATACACAATTGACACACCTCTGCCACATCCTCAGTTATGTGTAGGCAATGGATACCCCTGCCATGCCCACAGTTATATAGAGGCAATTTAGATACTCACACCAGTCAAACAAACAGAATGCAATGAAAAATCTTCCAATCAGGCACACAGACATCAATAGACAGCTGACATAAGTTCTAACTCTTCTCAAGTCTATCCAAAACAAAGCCATTTTATCTGACGTTTTCATCTATAGATACAGCTGTATAAACCGACTCATTTCCATGTTCCTGATATATACTTTTAGATTTTCCATGGCATCCAAAAGTTGAAGGGATCACCCCATTTATTCTGCAAGAACGGCAAACGTCCACCGTGATGTCTAAAATCTCCGGCTATTTCCCGAACAATCTAAAAGTGACTTGGCTGGAGAAGAGGGAAAAATCTGTAACTGACTGCACACAGAACTCGAAATACCGTATACCTGATATCAGACATGAGAGAATGGCCGATAACTCCTATCAGTGCTCCCCATCCCTATCGTTCACACCGAAATCAGTCACTGAGGATGTGGAGTTTATCTGCAGAGTGGAACATCCCAGCCTGGAACATCCAATAGAACAAAGCACAGGACCTGCCCGGGCAAACGGTGAGTCTCTTAAAGGAAACAAACTTTCATAGGAAGATACTTTATTAGGGATGCACAGCAATTTTGGCTGCCGAAACATTTTGGATGAAAATGGAGCTATGGGGAAAATTCTGGTAGTACAAAAATGCTGAAAATGCGGTATATCCCCAGCTTCTCTTATTTCCACTGGTTGCCAGCTTCAGTCTGTGACCTCACTGATCCCCACTGCTCTTACCTGCCTATGTCAGCAGAGGCAGCAGGGATCAGAGGGGACACAGAGCAGGGCGGAGCTTCAGGATCGGTATATATGTTAAATATTTACCGATCCTTCGGTAAGGAGAACTATGGGGTAAGTGTTTTTCCCAATAGTTCTCCTCAGGGTCACGGGAGGACATAAACTAGCATCCTCCCATGACCCAAAGCTCAGTATATAGCGGGCTACACCTCGCGGTATACTGAGACCGCCGCAGCCGGGACAGATCCCAACATTACTGTCGAGATCCACCCAGCTGCGTGATTGACAGTAGATAGGCAGAGCCAGCTGTACCCTCCCCCGTCCGTTCCTCCAGTCAGCGCTGGAGGGTTCAAGCAGGGAGGGGGGAATCCCTGCAGGGTGCTGTGAGTGACAGTCACGGCTCTCTGCAGGGACAGGATCGAGAAGTGAGCGAGTGACGGTATGTGTTCGCTCACTTCTCGATCTATTGAGCCAACGTGTGACAGTTTCTTTGAAAATCACTCACCTCATAGTTCTCCTTTAAAGTCTATTTGATATTTAACATCCATCTTGTCAGAGCATTGGACGTACATGGACATTAGCTGCGCACAGGTGAGGAGCTGTTTTCTGACAACCGAACCACATACTATATACACATGGACGCTAATGGTTGCATGCACTGATGCCTTCTTTGCTATTTCTCCCAGTGGCCCCCCATGAGCCGAATGATGTGAAATTAACCCCCTGTGGATCAGACAAAATTCTATGTTCTCTCAGTTTACTGAAGTTTTACCCCAAAAGTATTAACATAACATGGACAAGTGAAGAATGCAAAAATAAGACTTTAGACTCAACTAAAAAAATTATTCAGACCAACGATGAGAAGATATTTGATGCTACCAGTGAGTGTATCCTTCCCTGGAATTATTTCAAGTCCTCAGTACGTGTGACCTGGACACATGACTCACTGAAGGAACCTGGATCCAGAGATCTGCGTATAACAGGTATTGCCATCTAGACAGCTCTCCAAATGAAAGTCTTCGACACATTAACAATGTTTGTACTCCCCTTTATAAGAAGTTTCTGCCCTCAAGCAGCTTTGAAGTAGAACCAAACCAAGAGTAGAACCAACGGCCGAAACATTTTTAAAATTTGTTTTTAAATTTTAGATATCTATTGAATAATGATTTTTAACATTGGCAGGGCTCCTCTGTTCTGGAGTTATGTCAGGAAGTGAGAGGAAATCTTATGGATAGTAGTGATAGATAGATAGAGAGAGAGAGAGAGAGAGAGAGAGAGAGAGAATGTCCGGGGGGGGCTGTTGTAAGGGGGAATCCCCCTTTATTGAAGTGTTGGTTTCAGTTCTACTTTAAGCACTATCATTATCATTATTATTTACCATTTGTGGTTTGATTTGTAGATTTCCCCTGTCACCCTGCGATGGAAGAAGTAGAGAAACCGGCATTACTTGTCAACACAAAGGCCAGATTACAATATCAAATCTCAAATTTTTTCCCCAATGATCTCTCTGTGACCTGGTATAAGAAGAAGGATGGAAAACTCTGCTCTTTTAATGGGGTGAAATTCAAACACCATACAACCACGGCTCAGCTACAGCCCGATAACACCTACAGCTGTACAGCAAGCTTGCAGTTCACCCCAACACTGCTGGAAGACCAGGGGTCAGAGTTCATGTGCGAAGTGCAGCA